AAAACAATACTTTGACAAAGAGGTGAATAATTTTTAGTCTCTTGCTGGTTATGTTTATTTCTCATCCTCATTTTGTTTCAGCTCCAACAGCGACTCGTCAACGGACGACGACTTGACTAACTCGTTCCCGAGTCGCCAAGTGACGCCTTCGCCGCTTACGATGGTGGCACGTTTACTGGCATCAGAGGTACAGGACGATACGCCGCCCTTCCCAGCTATCAAGCGCGCGAATAGGGTCCTACTGAAAGAGCCTTCCAAGCGGGACATGATCATGTAAGTAGTGTTCTCTGCAGCTCCAACAGCTAATATTATATTAAAAACGACATTTTACTATGCTACCTATACCTAACCATCGACCGCACTTTTAAAGTATCATGCCGAACGGATGTACTGGAATGGCCATGTATTTATAGGACACCTCACATTTGAAATCTGAAATCAAGCCATTAAAAGTCCCAATTCTAAACGACATTAATATTTTTTTCATTAGATTAAAAAAATACTGACTTTAACCATTTATGATTGCAGATACAAACGCTACGTGAACTTCGAGAAGCGCTCCAACCCCAAATACAAGTCTGACATCCACGTGGTGATGACTGTGAGTAGCGCTTTCACCATAGACAGCTCGGTGGACATGATCCCGCCGACCGTGTCCCGAGCCTCCAAGCAGGTGTACCAAGACTACGTACGGAGGACCACGGGACACACCACGCTATCGCCGTCTTCCCTAGCCGCCTACAAGAAATATGTTAATTTCGCACTGAATTAATTTGCTTATACTTTGTTAAATCAAATTAGATCTCTATAATGTTATTGTATTAAATTAATGTATCTCATGTTATTTTATATTTAATTAAGTTATAATTACCTATTAATAAAATAATAATTATGTTTATTATTGTTCATAATATTTTAAACACATGTATAAATAAAACAAGACACTATAAATATGATTTTTCACTTTATAACCATACCCTTTGTCTGACTGATTTTTAAACAAAAACAAAAAGCCAGGGGACGAGACACAAAATACGGAGGACAAATTTCGGCATTGATATTATTTATGAAAAATTTGAATTTATGTAATTTGACTTATAAGACAGTGTTCCTAAGTTATTGTTCTGTATAAAATTAATGATGATGAAGTAATTATTTAATTTTAATACGTTCATAATAACTGGTTTACAAATAAAGTTGGGTTTGGGACAGCCCAGGGGAGTGACTTTTTTCTTGTATTAGAACTTATTGTGTCTAAACTGTGTACATTTCTGTAATAAAATTAAGTGAGCATGTAGAAGACATTTAGTTTTAAGCAATAAATAGGTTAATTAGGTAGTTAGAATTAAAAAAATGTACTTTTTTGCCCTTGCCATCGAAAGTACCTCTTAACTTAGAATGACCCATATCGAGGTAGTAGTACCCTAGGTTTAAAAAAGCACTTTGGGTGACATTAAGCGAGATGTACTATGTGTAATCATTGATCATTGTATGACTGTTATTTGCTATTGTAGTTGCTTTGAATAGTGCATATATAAATGTAGTTATTCCAGTTTATTGATACAGTTGTCAGTTTGGCCAGTGTTCTATGTTAAACATGAAATATAGAGAAATGTTTAATTGATTACATTACGTTTTATTTACCTAGCTACCTATTCTACCTTCCTAAGGCCCGGTTTCCACCAAGGCGGAGCAGAGCGGAGAAGTGTTTTGAATCACCAATTAGATTTCATTATTTCCACTTCTCCAATAGCCTCCTTCGCGCCGCTGTCGAATTCTATGGTATTCCGCCTGGTGGAAACCGGGCCAAATTCCAGTCGGGTTCATTCCGTCCGGTTTGAAAAGAACGGAAAAATTTGATCTCACCAGTTGGCGCCACTATAGCGAGTGACACAGGACTACAGTGGCGCCACCACTAGTGAGTACATAAATATTACGAGTCCTATCGCTTCAGCGCTCACCAGTTGCCGCCACAGCCGCCACTGTATAGCCATTAGTGAATTACAGTGAGGACCAATCTATATAGTTAAAATTATGCCAACCGAATTAAGAATCTCCTTTTGTTAAAGTCGGTTAAAAATTAAGAGCTTTCTCTAATAATATGGTGAAAAACATTGCAGGAGGCATTAATGAACTTAAGTCTAGATCAGGGATGGCGAACCAATGGCACACGTCACAATATTTATAGGGCACGCCCGCCAATCACAAAATCTACTATTATTATATAAAAATAAGTCGGGTTTTCCTTCTTGACGCTATAACTCCAGAACGCACGAACCGATTTCCACGGTTTTGCATTCGTTGGAAAAGTCTCGGGCTCCGTGAGGTTTATAGCAAAGAAAATTCAGGAAAATTAAACAAACGAAATTCCACGCGGGCGAAGCCGCGGGCGGAAAGCTAGTTCACTATAAAATAAAATAGTAAAGAATGTGTTTTGAATAAAGGCTTCCGTATTTGCCCTTATCAGTTAGTGCCACTCTCAGATCATAGTCTATGATCTGAGGTGCCATTGCAGCACTGTACTCACTGAAGAGTAAGGTCCTGTAACTTGCCAGTGGCGCCACGTCTTGTACTATACTTCTCATTGATAGCATTGTGTTATTTGATGGCACGTCTATGACTATATCAAACATTTTTTCACAAAAGTGGCATGTTGATACATAAAGGTTCGCTATCCCTGGTCTAGATAGTCCAAATAAATATGGCGACAACCCTGCTCNTAGGGAGTAGCCCTGCTCCCTTCATAGAAATTAAACAAGGTATTAAAAATTAATAAAAAGATATGATTTTCACCTTTTTATTTTCACTAATTACAGTGCTTTTATAACTTATAATAACACAGGCCACTAATACATAATTCTTTTAATAGGTCAGTGCATTTATTCTTTCTTGGGTACAGCGTGGATGTAGATGGTGTGAGCCACACCAATTATACCAGCAATGCACAGGGCCATTGTGAAGCGGTACAGGATACCGTCGAAAGGACCTCCCTTCAGGAATACAGGAACGTCATCATCAGTCTGAAATAATATTGTATAAGTTAATGTAAAATATTCATAATCATTTAAATTAATTAATTACTTTTGATTTATTTTTTAGTACAAAAATATGGGACAGTTCATCTGGTTTAACAAAGTGGTATCTCATGTAGTTGTAATAGTCATGAGGTGGAATTGTGTACCTAAAGCAATCGTAATCATTTGACAGTTCATAACATACAATTATTCTGTCAAACGCATTGTATAATTGACTTTATCGTATGTTATGAACTGTCAAATGATTACGATTGCTTTACACAATTCCACCCACGATTTTGCTTTAAAGCCTAATGTGCTTGTACAAAACTTTATATTACCTGGAACTGCTCCTGGCGTTTACGGATGGCCTCGGGCACGGGCGGGTAGGGCTGGTTGGTGCCAGGAATCAGTCTCCTCTTGCCGGGGGCGGGGCATGCGCTGGCTTCCGTCACAGTCGACAACTGTGCTGTGGTGTACTGGATCTGCGGAACCTCCACTCGTTGCAAAGCAATTGGTGCCTATTTAGAAAAAAAAGTTTTTTAAGGTAATGTTATGTACATTATGTGAACAGTGAAAGATGACAGCAAAACAGTCACATTCCTATTATAGTTTTAATACAGTGTAACAAATATTAAGTGTTTAAATGATAAGTTATTAATGATGTTAATTATGTACCATACATAAATTAGTAATTTAATTGACCACTAACAGCTGTCAAAGTTAACAATCAAGTCTGAGGATTACACAGGTGATAAGTATTGTAGGCAATATTGTAAGTTGGCTGGAGTATAGTAGGCAAATAATTTTATTAAATCAAATACCTAATAAAATTATCCCAAATATATAGGTATAGGTTATTGTTATTTTTACTAAAATTATAGAAAATTTAATAATTAAATTAACGCTTAAGCAATGTCATGTTAAACTATTTATAGGATAATTAATTTAGTTAAGAACCAGTCTTCTTTTAGATTCTTCAAAACGGGCTAGGATCTATCTTTTAACCCAAAAGATAAGGGCACATTCAGAATAGGTGGAAAAGCAGCATTATACGTACAATTGGGAACAGTGGCGATTGCAGGTGGCTCGCAGCTACCAGCCTACCCGAGATTTTGCCGAGTTGATGATACATTTTGGGAGATTTGTTAAATTTTCGGATCGCACAGTAGTTTCAGCAAATCGAGCTGTTACGAAACAAGTACTTTTTTATCAATACCGTTCAGAAATGCATTCTCCTTACTTCAACTATAAAAAAAGTAAGTAATTTATTTCGAAAGTTACAAATCGATTATTTTGTTTTATAATCCCAAAATTATATAAAGCGTTATTAATATCTACAAAATGAGCCAGAAATGGGTGGTCATCGTAAAATAATATTTTTATTAAAAATTTTAGATCTCTTTTTCAATTCGAGTCAGGTTTCAGAACGATACATTGGATGCAGTGTTGCATACAATAATAATATTGTCAATGGTGTAATTTTCAAATAAATAAGAATACACACCACTGAAGCCATTAGTTAGACAGAATGATAAAGAAAGATTTATAATGAGTATGTCATAAAAGTAATAATATTTTCTGCTACTACTCTACACTTACGTAAGTTTAGAGTAGTAGCAGAAAAGTTAAAATATGTAATACAGAGCCCCGATTACGGTAACTTTTAACGTCTACAATCCAGAGTACGCTTCTCGATTCTGCGATACGATTGGTCGTTCAACAGCGTACGTCAGCTGTTTTGACCAATCGATTCTGCAATACGATTGGTCAGCGTAATGATCAAAACAGCGTACGTCAGCTGTTTAATTTGACCAATCGTATCGCAGAATCGATGAAGCGCGTCTGGATTGGAGACGTTAAAAATTACCGTAATCGGGGCTCTGTATTACATATTATTTTAACCCTACCACGGCTTCGGGATAGTAAATAGGTCAGTCATTCTGAAAACATTTTTATATTAATTTTTTAAGGAGACCCGCTTCTACACTATCAAATTTATGCATGTTTCACCCTATACAATCAACAAAAACATGCAACATTCAACAAAATTGCCTACAAAAATGTTGACTAGCTGTACTCGGGACTTTGAACGCGTAAAGAAGACCCTTTAACAGAGTTACTGATACTGTGACAAAATTTTATAAGAATCGGTCGAGCCGTTTCGGAGAGGTTTGTATGAAAACACTTTTAGTTTAAGAACACGTTAATAAATTAGGGTTGATAAATAAACAGCCATAGCTTGTTTCTGATACCATTGAGATCCCTGCTATTTTTTGTAGGGTTGATCGTAAATATAATTGATGAAGTAATTAAAACCAATTTAATAAAATAACAATAAAATGTATTTTTTTAATGTTTGTTGCTGAATTGTCAATTAACTCAATTATTATTATTATAACTCAAGTGCATTGCCACTTGAGTTATGTAAAAATGTGTACAAATTAAAATACACTTCTGGCAACTTTGTTTGCCGCCATCTTTGGTCTTGAAAAATTTGACAGTTCTTTCTTGTAGCACGTTTTACGAAAAGGTGAGGTTGGAAAATTTAATGTATTTTTAAAGTAACTTGTTCAATATAATTTTTGATAAAATGCATAGACTCCCTATTTACAGTTTATCTAGTCAATTCTGTGAAGTGATAAGTTGCGGCTGAATGACGTTCGAAATTCAAATATTTTGCATCCGCGTGGCGTGTCAATCTGACAAAAACGATGTGCATTTGTTTCAATTTCAATTCAGAAGACAGTTTTGTAATAAAATTCAATAAATGTGTTACTAATAAAATAATTCTTTACAGCACTCATAATGCAGATATTCGTAAAAACTTTGACGGGGAAAACCATCACCCTTGAGGTGGAGGCTTCAGACACAATCGAGAATGTGAAGGCCAAGATCCAGGATAAAGAGGGAATCCCACCTGACCA